CGATTGCTAAGGTGAAGGAGCGCAGAGAAAACGTGCAGCGTGGAACACTCATGCATTTCCATCAGCGTTTCAGGCACCTATCGTACGACACAATCGAGAGGATGGCGCTCGAGACCGGCTCTGGAATTCAGCTCACGGACTGTCGACGCATGGTGTGTGTCACGCGCGTCCAGAGTAAGCAAACCAGGAACGTGCAGTCAAAGAAAGATACGGGTGTGCACTCTCTGATCGATCGCATTGGCGGTGTGATTTGCTGAGATCTTAAGGGACCGATGATGCCAAGGGACCGCCTTGGGAATCGGTACCTCGTTAACTTTGTCGATCACAAGAGTAATTACTGCCGCGTATTTCTGGCACGCACCAAGGACCAAGCGGCGAAAAAGTTCAAGGGATTCTTAGAGTTCTTTGAGAAGCGCTTCGACTGTCGCATTCTTGCGCTACGCACAGATTGGGGTGGTGAAAATCGGAACGTTGATTTGTTCTGCAAGTCCGCCGGCGTTTCACGGCAGGTGAGCAAAGCAAGAAATCAAGCATCAAATGGCAAGGCAGAGCGCATGCACCGGACGGTTCTAAACACGGTCCGCTCTATGATTTTTGCAAGCAAGCTCCCGCTGAATTTCTGGGATATGCGGTGGAATACTCAGCGTACATACTGAATCGCAGTCTCACAAGCTCGAACGTCAACCAAGCATCACCAATCGACGATCTTCTTGATATCGTTACGTTTGGTTCGGTGTGCACAGTGTACCATGACCCGAAGAAGAATCCTTTGCACATCGGGCGCAGATGGGTATCATCGTGGGTCGCAGCGACGAGGCCAAAGAATATTGTGTGTTCATACGCACGGCCAATGTCGTGATCCTGACCCAACACGTAAAGAATATTAAGGCACCCTCCGACAAGCACAGCGAGCAGCTACTCCACAAAGCAGGAGCTGAGGAGGAGACATCTTCGATTGTCCCCGTCGTAGCTCAAACAAAGGGGACGACTAATCAGAAATCGTGGGTACGTGCATCCCATGCCACACGAGGGGCTGCCAAGCGAGTGACAT